CTGACCCAGGAACCTCGTTTAGATGCAGGTATTCCAGGGCCACACTCTCACTAAAGTTCCCATCCAGGTCACCTTGGGGAAGGGCATGTACAGGGTGGCACAGGACAAAAGTACAGCAAGTTTAAAGCTCTCGGTTGGCTTTATTGCAGCTCTAGACATTCTAGAATCTGGCTACATGGCCTTGCATAAAATAGAAAAACTGTTCCAATGCACTGAGCCAAAGAGGTCGGCTTCATAGACAGAAAAATAAAAAGGCTGAAGAAGGAAACAGAACAAGAAGCAGACTGGTTATTTCAAAGTCACTTTCCTTGTTAAGTGGGGGACAGGGAGAGGAGAACAGTAGAATGACTGAGTAACGTCAGTGACTTCAGGCTGCGCTTTCTGGGTAAGGATTAAAGCAGAGGGAACTTCATTATCCTGCCTATTGCAGATTTAAACTGGCTGTTTGGGAGATTGACCATTATCTATTCAGTTTAGGTCTGGTGACAGGACACCTTAGCAGGAGTGAGTCCATTTTGATTTCCAGTCTGGTCTGTCAGGACCTAGTGCAGGAACTTAGTCCAAAACAGTGGCCTCTGGTGATTTTCACTTAACAGGGGTGTGTGGGCTGTGGGCCCTGAGCCCCGGCGGTCCTGCTGGGTGGGTGGTGGCTGGTGCCCGAGAGTTCTTGCTCCTCCTACGTGGCTCTGCCCCCCTGTGACGGCCCCTGTTACACGAGGCTTAGGGCCCCCACCTTCACCATCTCTGCAGATTTTTCGGAGGGAGGTCAAGGACCTACAGAGAAGTGTCCTGTGTTTAGGATGCTTGAGAGGCACCCTGCCCAAGGTGGGGACACGATCAGAGGAAGCCCAGGCAGAACCAGGGCTCCTCTCGGGAGGTTCCTACGTGGCCCGAATGTCACTGGGCTGGGACCCCAGTTCAACTCCCCTGCCCCTGTTCTCACAGCCTGTTGGAACCCCATGCCCTGTGTTGGATTTGGCTGATCCCATGGGCAGGGGGTGGCTTCCCCATGTCAGGGTCTGCAGTTCACACACTTACACACCACGCACACCAGCAGTTTGGTGAGCTCAGTAGAATAGTCAAAACCCTGTGAAGCAGGAGGAGAGGCTTTGTCCGAAGCACCCAGCACCCGCCGTCTTCCTGCCGGCTGTGGCCTCCTCTTCTGCAGACAGTTCTCCGTGCGTGGTGGCGCTGTGGGAACGTGCCCCTGACACCCCACCCTATAGTAAGCATGCTGTGTCTCCTCTCTTCTCTCTCTCTCGCCCCCTGGTTAGCCAGCTCTGCTCTGAACACAAAGCTCACCAGGTTGGTTTGAGGACAGTCCTCTCCAGCATCAAGACCTGTTCCCTGCAGGGGTGGTGAGAGGAGAACGGCCCTGGGCTGAGGCCACCACCAGCAGAGGTCCTGATCTTGCTGCATCGGCCCCCTTCAGTGTTTCTCACTCTCTTCTGCACTAGCCAAGTCAGGATTTCGACGTGCATCTCAATACACCGCCACCTGGGGACCTCTTCGAGAGGGATGTCCCAGGCTGGCAGAGTCCAAGCAGGACGAGCTGCACGATGCTCAGGCGGCTGGGAAGGGTGGGCAGGGGGGCCCCCTGCCACTCGGGCACCAGCGGGGAGGGTTAGTCACCAGGGCCCTGAGGATGCCGTGCTCTCATCTGCAGGATATGCGTGGTGAGCAGCGTCTTTCGAATGCGGGGCTCCCAGTGCCCGCCCCACCCCCCCCCCGTCCTCTCCCCGGGGGCGGGGGCTGCACAGCCCACTGGCTTGCGGACACCATCTTCCAGATGCCCTTCCCAGAGTCAAAGCACCCACTGGAGGTCCAGGGCTGCCAAATTCCCTTCTTTTCCTCATCAGTAATTCCCTGAACTGTTTTTCCCCCACTGATCCACCTACAAAAAATGCTCATGAACCAAACTGTGCCTCAGCTCCTCTCTGTCCCCCAGACCCCTGCACGTGGACCACCCTCAGCCCGAGCCAGCCCACAACCTCTGTCAAAGGTCAGACTTAAGAGAAATTTAAAGACCTCAGTGGACTTTATTTGATTCTAGAATCGGGCAACACTTCACTCCATAAAACAATAAAGGAGGTTGACTTTATAGACTGAAAAATGGCTGAAGAAAGCAGAAACAGTGAAAAGCATTCTGGTCACATCAACGTTACTTTCCAGGGGCCGTCCAGCTGCTCCCTTGGTCAGTGCTCGGGGCTGATAACACCAAGGTCAAGGGTTCGGATCCCTGTACCAGCCAGCTGCCAAAAAACCCACAAGAAAAGAATAAAAAAGTACTTTCCTTGTAAGGGGGGACAGAAAGACAGAACAGCAGGAAAATAACTGATTATTTGACATCAGGTGCTTCATGCTGTCCCGAATTGAATGGGAGGTAACTTCATTAACTTGCCTATCGCAGATTTAAACCGGCCTGTTTGGGAAACTGATCTCTCTCCTGATTTCTCCGAAGGTCAGATCACTAATTTTAGTTTGATGACTGGCCCCTTCAAGCAGGGGGGGCTCCATTTTGGTTTTCGCCTGGTCTGTTGGGGCAAGTGCAGGAGCTTAGTCCAAAACCTTGGCCTCGATGATCATTGTTCTACCCCCTCCTGAGCTTCGGGGGAAACCCACCCCATCCACTGCCCCTTTGGGCCCCTTCACCCTACTCCCCACCCCCCATTCTTTTTAGCCTTGATCACTTGCCCCAGGAGAGGACCCTTTGCCTAACCCTTGAGACCCTTGTGACCACAAGGTCAGAGTGGAACGTCCTGCATGACGATAGCTCCCGCCCCTCACGATGATCCTCTAGAACAGTCTCTCCTTTGTAAATCCTGATTTGCTCCTTATTCAACATCCACTAGTTAGCATGGGTCAAAACAGCTCCCCCGCCCTGAAGCGGAAGGAGGGCGAGCCCATGGGCCTGTGTCCACACCCGCCCTGCTTGCTGGCTGGCTCTGCCCCACCCCAGGGCCTTTGCACTGCCTTCTGCTCAGCCTGGACTGCTCTCCCCTCCTTCTTCCTCCAACATCAGACACCTGCTCCGACCTCTCACTCAGCCCCTGCTTCCTCCTGGAGCAAGCACTGCAATCCGTGGTGTGTGGTATTTATGTGGTCACAGTGAGTGCCCCATTCCACTGGAAGCTTCCGGAAAGCAGGTCCTCATCTGCCCCCTCAACCGCCAGATCCCCCAAGTCCTGTGTCTGGTACTTTGAAAACCTAGGTATTTGTGGAAGAATGGAAAAGATGGAGCTGCCCCCTGCTCAGCAATGTGGGCTCTGAGTGTTCTAGTGGGCATGGGCCTGGGGCAGGTGGGAGGGCGCATCTCCCAGGCTGTGGGCAGTTACAGGTGCCCAGAGCAGCAAGGCAGCCATGAGAGCTGAAGGCCAGTCCCAGGGAAGTCGTAAAACAGAAAGCAACGCAGACCAAGGAACAAATGCAGACTCCTTGCTGACGGAGACCGTGTCTGAAAGGAGGATTGCAGGGAGCTGGCCGTTTGGACATCAGAACCAGAAAGAGAATTTGGAGGCTCCAGCCTTGTCCTAGGCAGACCCGGTTGGGATCCGAGTCCTGTGGGGAAGGGGTTCTGTGCACGGAGCCGTTTCTGGAACACAAGGGTGGTGGATTTCTCAACCTTCGCTGTCTTCCGGGAGCACGGGGCTCTGTAAAGTTCAGTGTTGTCACTGAGCCTCGCAAAGGAGCTGGCAGGACATCCTCAGGAAGCCCTGCAGGGAAGGTGCTGTCAAGGGCTTCTCTCAGGCTTGAAGGTAACCGGCAGCAGCCATGCCAAAGAGGGCAGTGTGAGCTTAGCCACTCACCTCTGCTGCCACGCAGGTGGCCAGGGGCACTGGGCTCGGGCTCTTGCCTGGACGGCATCAGTGGGTGGGGAAAGCAGGACCATTCTGGGCCTTCACAAGCCCACCCCACATCATCTTGCCCACAGGTAACGCACTGTCTGAGGGCCCTGAGGACATCCAGCGCTCCCTTCCCCACCGCAGCTCCTTTAGAAGGCAGCTAGCTCCATCATTCATAGTAGCAGGGAGTAATCGGGGTGGGAGCCATGGCAACAATCCAAGCTGCCTCTGAGCAGCACTGCAGAGGTGTGGGCCGACCTTCCCAGCTGGGGGGGCACCGGAGCCTCCCAGAACCCATGGTAGGTGGGGTGCAGAGCGGGCCGGGGGCTCACACAGATCCCAGGCCCATCTCATGGGACAGTGTTCCCAGGTGGCCCTGGCTGTGGCACGGGCCCCCAACCTGCACTTCATCATGTGCGGGGCCAGCACCACCAGGCAATATCCCCCTAAGAGCCCTAAAGAAAGGGCCGAGGTCCAGCCCATTTGGGAAAAGCTGCCCAACCCCCTCAGAGATCCACAGGAAACATCTTTGCTTTTTGGTACCACATTCCTTGGTGTCTTTTGTGCACATGCCACTGACACCCATGGAGCTGACTGCTGTCTTCAGTGATTTTATATTCCCAGCCCCTGGAACCAGCCAGGCCCCTTGATAACCAGGAGTCCAGACTCAGCCTGTCTCCAGTTGGTAAGACTTGACTACGGACCAACTCAGGGCTGTGACCCCAATCCAGCCCCTCCCCATTCCATGCAGCCGGTCCTCTTCCACCTGGGGAGGCACTCACGCTCCCGGGGCCTGGAATTCTCACTTGTTGATTGAAATGCTCCACCATGTCCTGGACATAAGGGAACGGTGCCACCTCATTTCCTGCCAGGCCCCTCCACCACCCCATCAACCCCAAGCTGGAAAAGTGCCTCCTTCCTGCCCTACCGCAGTGCTGGTGCCCGATGCTCATGGGCTGGCTGTCCCTCCCGTGACCTGAACGTCCCTCCCAGGCCCTGCTCACGGGGAAGTGTGCACTGCCCACCTGCAGGACAGGGGCCGCGTCGGTCAGTGCATGGATACGTGGCTGCATTAATGAGTGAGGGGGCCCAGAGGAACCCCGGGAACACTCCCACACCCAGAACGTGACGTGGAAGAAGAGGACACAGAAGACCATCAGCAGTACTTGCCATTCTGATTGTTTTTCTTTAAAAATGAACAAAAAATCCCACACAAAAATTCCCATTCCCCAGCTAAAGCAGCCCAATGTAACAGGTTAACCAGTAACACAATAAAAAGACGCCACAGTCACACACGTCATTCACTTGGCAGAGGGCATTCTGGCCTGGCCGCCGGTGTCACGGTGTTGGGCCGTCCCAACGTGGCCGGAACAGACCAGGACGCAGGTGCGGCACGCGCCACACAAAACAGCAAGGCTGAACGCTGGCCGCTGGAAATAAATAAACATGGTGCCAAGAGCATCCTTTAAATTAGTAAGACATCAGGACAAAGTAAAAACAAAACGAGTGAACAGATGCTTGTTACGCCAGGATTTGCTTTAAAAAACATTAAAACCCACAAACAGGAACCCTTGAGACGTCTGTCTTTAGAACATGGTCAGAAAAAGTGAAGTCTTCACAGTCAGTCCCAGGGGTCTCACCAGTCCTCCCCCGTCTCCAGCACAGCAGAGCTCTAGGGTGTCTCCCCAGCACGGGTGGGTGGAGAGTAGGCAAGGACTTGGGGGCATGAGGGGCCCCGCCAGCAGCAGGCCCCATTCAGCACCATGGGATACCCCCAAGTGGTCCCTGCCGTCTCAAATGGATCTCCAGCCCCAAAGATCACAGACGTCCAACCTGCCTCCCACGGTGGGGGTCCCACCTCCAGTGCTGGGGAGAACCACATCTCAGTACGAGCCTTTGCTCCCTAAACACCCCCACCCCCAAGCTCCCGGCCTCAGTGAGAAAAGGGACCGTGGGAGCACGATCGACTCCTGTAGGGCAACCCCATGGACACCCCACCAGACTCAAAGCAGCCACCTCCCATGACGCACCCCAGTGGGGCCCCATGTCCCCAGGGCGATTTACCTGGCCCCCTGAGTTCTACAAGGCTATGTCCACTCTCCCTGAGCCGGCAGTGTGAACTCAGCCAACTGCTCAGGCCCTGATGGACCCCAGAGGAAAGGGGGTGGCCAATGTACCCAGGAGCACCCGTCCCACACACAGGGCTGCAGTCACCTGAAACATCCAATCTCCTGGACCCACACAACGGCCCCACCAAGCAGGTGGGGCAGCAGCTACTGTCCCCATCTGCAAGCCCAGAGGGCAGGCCTTGCCCAGCACAAAGCCTCAGTCAGGTCTTCTGCCACAGGGCTGCCTGTCTTGTGAAGGGAGACTCCATGCACTGGGGCAACGTCCGTGCAAGTCCATCCTCATGCTGCCAGGAGCCATGGGATGAGAATGGGACAGAACAGGACGGGCCTCCTGGGCAGCCCCACCTCCTCTCTCTAGCACAAAGGTTTATTTCACAAGTAGGACAGATAGATGCCTGGTTGGTTCTTTTTGGCCCCAATGCCTGGCCCAGGACCCCCAAACTGCTTATTAAGTTTCTCTGGGCCCACTGGATGGCGTGGGGGTCCTAGAACCCAGGCAGGTGGTGACAGGTTTGACCCAGAGTTGGGGGGCTCAAGCAGCTGCTGGTCAAGAAGGCAGCGTCCAGCCCCATGCTCCCTGGCTGCCGGCTGGGGGGAGCTCTGGGGACTGTGCCCAATGGGGAGCTGCTGCCCAGCAGCTCTTTCAGCATAGCTGAGTGGTGCCAGCTGACTCGGCTCAGCCTCCTCCTGGGAGCAAGAAACTCAGAGGTCTGAGGCCAAGGCAGAGCCGTCCAGAGCATGAGCTTGGGCTGGACGGGTACTTCTCGTACCTACAAGTCTCTGGCAACCTGACCTCAGACAACGCCTCTCCTCCTGGCCAATTCCTGGAACGTAGCGACAGCTCAGGAAAACCAGCCGTAGCCAAAGTGCTGGCCAGGCCTCGGCTGCCTCCCTGGGAGAGAAAACACCACGGGAACAGCCCAGACAAAAGCTGCTTGTGCAGCCTCTGCACAGGGAGGAGTGTGGCAGGGCTGGCAGCTTCCTCACTCTGGGAAGTGCCAAAATGACCCCCAGAGAGTTGGAGCAGCCTCCAGCAGCAGGTGGCAGAGAGGTGAGGAACGCCTGGCTCCACCTCCCAGATGTGGGAATCAAGAGGGGAACAAGCTGTATGTGCAGTCGGGGAGTGGGCAGCGGTGCCACAGCCAGGATCCAACCCCAGGCAGCTTCAAGGGGCTGCCGCCCAGTCAGAGGGCAGCACAGAGGCCAATTGTTCAGAGCCCAAAGAAGGGGCTGCTAGGAGGGGACGCTACCATGTGGAGCCAGGGTGGGAGTCCACGAGGGTCCTGGGCCCCGGCACGTCTGCTTGTCTGTTTCTAGAGGATTTGAAGAGCAGGGCTTTGTCCACATGGACTAGAGTTCGGCCTCCCAAACCGGACGTAGCACCGGCCAAGAGCCCGCGGTGCCCCAGGCCTGGTGAGTGCTCAGGGAGACAGTGGGGCATCCCTGAGTCTGCTGTCACTCAGGACAATGCCTCAAGGCCAGATAAACAGTGAGGAGGCCAATGGGGGCCCAAGCCCAGAAACCAGGCCCTGCCAAGCACATGCCGGGGGCAGTGTGCTACCACAGAACTCCAGAGTCACCCACTGGAGCCAGAACTTCTGCTTGGGCACCTCCATTCCCCCAGTAGACACCAGGTAAAGGCATTGGCTCTTCCTGCCAAGCTGATCTGCAAACCCTCTCTTCGGGGGCTGTGCTGTTGAGATTTCTTTCTCTTTTGGGGCTGGGGAGGGAGGATACTAGTCCGAGTCTTTAAGGCAAAGAGGCATAGCCCACAGGGTTAGTTTTTGCTAATGTCACTACATTTACGATAAAAAAATAAGAATGCCAAGCATGTGGGCCCAGGCCGGCTGGCCGGTGGTCAGTGCAGGTCCATGGTCAAGACAGTGAGGTCCAAGACTCAGTAGTTCTGTTGCCAGTGACAGTGATCCAGTCCCTCCAAGGCACAGCACACTGCAGGACACGTTAGGGGAAGAAGACTGTCTCCCCCCACCCAACGCCCCCATTTCTTTAAAAAATAATCATCTTGGTGGCATCAACTTGACCCAAAACTTAAAAAAACAAACAAAATAAATGAAACACAGAAGCAAACAAAGGTGGGAGGGGTGACAGCCTGGCAGGACAGTGCCCACTGCGGGTTGGAAATGCCCAACCTCTTTTCGGTCCACAGCCCATGCCCCACTGTCACGGAGGCGTGGAGGACGTTCACCGTCTGGGACAGAATCGTACCAGGGTTTTTAGAGCAGCCTTGCTGCCCAGTGGTGCACGGACAGCAGGGGTTCTGGGGCTGGTGGCACGGCTAGGATGTGGGCGAGAGGGACCAGAAGTCGCGTCGTGAGGGTGAGCTGCTTCAGAATGGTCTTGTGCCTTCCTCTCCTGTTTAGGTCTCCTGGGGGACAACCTGCATGAGCTTCTGGCAGAGGACTGTCGTGGAAACTGTGGGGAGAGGGGCCGAGTGAGTGGGGCACCTGCCCCTCCGCCAGCAGGAGGCTGGCCCTGCTGGCTGCACCTGCAGAGTTGCGAGGATGTGTGGGAACGTCCTGACGTGTGCACATGAACACCGCCTACCTGAGGGCCTCCCAGCTGGCACACAGCCTGCAACTCCTGCTTAGATGCAGAGAAAGGCTGCATCCTATGTGGCCAGTGTGGCCAAGGAGCGTGGCAAAGGGCGGGTCCTGGGCCCACCTCTCACCCCAGCTTGGAATCCTGTGACTGTGGTGAGCGAGACTCAAGCGGCACACTTCCACCCACCACAGGGTCTTCAGCAAAGCCCAATGGGGGGTGATGGGCCTGGGCCACCACCTGTGTCTACCAGACGCGGCAGGCAGCAAGCACGCCACTGCTCCATGACAGTCATGTGATCCTGCACCAGTGGAACTGGCCCACCATCTGTGTGGCACTCTGTGCAGACCTGTCACACCCTTAGCCTTCCTACGGAGAAATCCCTCTGAGGAGGGAGTTTGGTTCTGGATGGAAGGTTTCTCCTGCCTGAGGCTGTTGGTGTGTTCAGGATTCAGGGGTGGGGTGTCTCCTAACTGCATTGCTGCAGTGATGCAATTTTAAAAGCCACCCAGTGACATGACAATCGGGGTCCAGGTCCACAGGCACCGGTGCCTTTTTCTAGGAGTCTGGCCATATTTATAGTACGGGATCCTAAACTTGTTATGCAAATCAACCCTGGGGCCACCAGTGCCCAGAAAGCCCCGGGGAATTCTGTTTTTCCCTGCTCTGCCTTTCTAGGTCAGCGGCTGCGTTTAAGCTGGCGGCAGACGGTGGGGTTTTGGTACTTGGCAAACGCAGCATGGTTTTCTGGAATCCCTTTTTCTAAGAGATCAGCTATTGCCAGGCTGAGTGTATTACCCCTGAAATATGTGGCCACACGTCAGTGCCAACACACTGCAGTAAGTCATGGGCCGAATGTCACTGCTGGACACACCAGTGGCCTGAGCCCTTGCCTGGTGCCGTAAAATCTTCCACCCGACGTGACACACCTGGCCCCACATGGGTGGGGACGGCCAGGCCGCTGAACCTGTCAACTCCCTTCACTGCCCTGGGGACCTGAAGACACTGACCACTCTCCCTGCTCTGCCCATTCCTGGCAAGTGGCACCTGAGCAGCAATGCTGGCCCGTGCAGGGGCCAAGGTGCCAGTAGCCTGGGGTGGGGACAGAGGGAGGACGGCGGCAGAAGGTACTCACAGATGACCTGGAACAGCCACTTGGGCTTGTCCCTCCACCAGACACCGACAAAGTAGATGGGCAGCCCGCTAAGGGTGATGGCAAAGCCAATGGCACATTCCATGGGGGTCTTCCAGAAGGAGACGGCGATCAGGAACAGGCAGGCCAGGATGAAGAAGACTGGGAGGGCGAGGTTCACCTAGAATGGAGAAAGGGCGATGGGACAGCGGGCAGCGGATGCGCGACCTGTGTGAGATGAGCCGCATAGGCCCGCGGGCGGCCATGGGCCCTTGCTGCAGCCTCACCTTCTTTGGACTCCTGAATACACCTGTGCCTCAGGCTCCATGCCCACCCCTCCCTGGACCCTCTGCCCTCCTGGAACCCGCACAACTCCCACAGCTTGGTTCTGGCATCCCCCAGATCTGACTTGCTTTCTCTGTGTCTGCCCCACGCACTGGGCTGTGGGCCTGAGCAGAACTCAGACCAGACTTGTATAGGTTCACCCTTGACTCAGCACCCAGTGGCAGGAGTGATCACCCAAAGCTCAGCTGGGTGTGGACTGAGGAATGGAAACTGCCACCTTGTTCTCTCACAGCTTCCCAAGGGCAGGGCAGGTCGGCCTCATCAGAGGCAGACATCCCCGGCCACAGCACCCACCGCAGCCACCCAGTGGAGAGGCACGGCTAGCACATCTGCGAAGACTGTGGCCACCCACTAATAATTGAGGAGCCCCGCCCTCTCTGAGACCCCTCTGTGGACAGGGCCAAGCAATGACCCATCCCTGGATCCCCAGCCTGAACAGTCACACTGAGCAGACAGCTCCGCCTGGCACAGAAGTCAGGCAGGGGAGCTGCGGAGGAGCAGATGGTTGACCAGGTTCGCCACTGCTGTGTACACTATGGGCTGTCCTGATCCACAGACAGGCAAGTCATCCTGGGACACGGAGGCCTGAGCAGGGTTCCAGCCAGTCAGTGCAGATGGTGCCTGCCCTGGCCCCAGGAACAGACACCCACCCCATGCCCAGGTTCCCACAGCCGTCCCTAGCGCCTGCTCCCATTAGCTCTGCAGAGGTCAGCTGCGGGCAGTCTGGCTGGCAACAGCAGTTATAAGTCTGTCCCATGCAGGGTGGGGTGACCTCCTTGGACACATCCAGAATAGCCTCTCTCAGGGCCTGTAGGTTGGGTCTAACAATGAGCAGTATTTTAAAGCCAATGTTACAGGCTTAGGACAGGTAACCCTGGGCCCGCAGACTTCGGGAGCGAAAAAGGAGCAAGATGGTCTGGGTACTGCAGTGGTCCTGGCCCCTCCCGGGACCCAGTTTCTACCCATCCTGGGGAGATCTCACTGTAGGCAGGGGACCTGGGTCTCACTGGCCCTTCTGTGGGGGCTGCTGGGTGGGGTGGGAGGAGGGATGCTGGCTGTGACGGCCACATGCTGGTGGAGAGCTGGCCGGACAACAGCAGCTGCTGGCCAGTGGCCACCACATCTCTGCCCTCTCGTGCCTGACTCATTTTGGGGGCTGCAGATGAGGCACTTGCTGGGCCCCCCACAGAAGTGTGGGCGTCGCCATCCCCCTTCTTGGAGAAATGGTCTCCCTCATGCCAGATGCCCCTGGCAGAGCTGCTGAGAAGAGGGGAAGCTGCTTCTGCCTGGTGGCCTCCAGGACACCTACAGACCGTCCACTCCTAACACATGCATGGGGACATACACCCAAAACCCTTACTTCCCGCAGGGTAAAGCCGGGCTCTGTGGCCCTGCACACCCAGACATCAGCTCCCAGCTCAGGGGCTCCGTCAACATAGTCCTCCCAGAGAGCACGGGCCCCCCTCACCTGCCCAGGCACCACCTCCTTGTGGCCCACCCCGACGTCCTTCTGGATGCCTGCTGTGCCCAGGCTGGTTCAGCCCCATCCTCACCACGGCTTCTCTCCCCTCTAAGCCTAAGCCCAAGCCCATGGAGGGAAGGGGCTCTCTGGGCCTGTTATGTCCTTTGGTGGACCTCAGCACCTGCTCATGCTTGGTGCTCACGAGGTTCCCAGGAAACAGCCACCGACTGAGTCAATCAGGCCCCACCCTCCTCTGCATCTACTACAGAAGCACGTTCACACCATCTTCTCAATGCACACCAAGCCCCTCTGTGGAAGGCAGCGTGGGCCCTGAAGTGCTGAGGGAGGTGAGGGATCCGAGAAGGAATGTGTGTGGCTGGCACAGGGTGCATGCCAGTGTGGTGGGGTGGAGCTAGAGACTGTGGTAGGTCATTGGCTCCAGAACCGGGATCCCCGGGACACTCAGGCCCTGCGTCTGCTAGGGGCCCCCGCTGTGCTCAGGCTGTGCCACCCACAGCCAGGTCCTGAGAAGGTCCAGCCTCACCTTGATGGGCCGCTCCAGCTCGGGCTTCTTGTAGCGGAGCCAGAGCATGCCGATGATGGCCAGGGCCACACAGAGCCAGTTGAAGAAGCTGAAGAAGTTGATGACAGAGAAGATGTCTCTGGAGAAGGCGTAGAGCAGCGTCATGATGCACTGCAAGAGACGGGTGGACATGAGCTCTGGGTGGCCGCCCTGGAGAATGCCAGCAACATGGGCGTGGGGTGGCTGCGCTTGGTTGCTCTTGCTCAAGGGACCAGTGAGGCCTCAGCAAGCAGTGGAAGGTGCAGGTGAGAGAACAGACATGGCTGGGCCTCAAGGACAAGGTGAGGCACGGCCAAGGGGAGCGGGATGACACCCAAGCACAGAGCTCGCTGTGGCATGGCGTGGACAGCGGCTGCCTGCAGCTAATCCAAACACGCACTGTGGGGCACCGTTAAAATGAGCCACAGAGCCTGCATGCTACTAGACACCGTGTAGCCACTTCAAAACTGAGACCAAACTGTGCGGGGGCTTCAAAGCCCCTGGGAAGCTCACTGCTGCTTCCCTGCAACAGGGGGGCTGAGTCCTGCCTCCCGTGTCAGGCTGCACTCACTGGCTCACTTATAACAAAAGGGATGGGACAGAAATCGCGGAGGGACTTCTGAGGCCAAGCCGTAGGCACACGTGGCTTTCCCAGCTGCCTCTCAGGGATCACGCAGCAGCCCTCAGGAGCAGCCCTGCACCAGGGACTGAGGCCCTCAGCCCGGGCAGGCGCTCCATCACCATCCAGACCACCCCCTCCCAGGACAGAGTGCACTAGGACCACTAGCTGAGCAGCCCCAGGTCCCTGACGCTGAGAAACTGAGCTGGTAAAGGTACTGTTCTGGGGTGATTCTGTCACACAGCAACAGAGAACTGATGTAGAATCACCAGCTGGCACGGAGAGACGTGAGGTGAGCTGTAGCAGTGTGCATTGCTCCTGCTAGGGAGAGACACCATGAGCATGCGCGCGAGTGAGTGTGCACCTGTGTGTGAATGTGAGTGTGGGCGTGTGCACACCTATGAGCGTGTGCGCACCTGTGTGCATGAGCGTGCGTATATTAACATGTGTGTGCGTGCAACTGTGAGCATGAGCATGTGCATGTGTGTGCTCCTGCACCTGTGAATACACCCTGCCTGAGCGCAGCAGGCAGGGACAGCAGCAGTCTTGGGAGTGGAGCTCTGGCCTCACACCCCTCTGGGCTGTTTGCCTTGTTTTTTCACAACTACCGTATATCATTTTTGGAATTAAACACTTAAAAAATTCCAGTGCTTCTGGAACCTAGCAGAGCAGGTGGTGACGTGTACAACAGGAGGAGACCGTGTGGTCACCAGCCTGCATCTCCATCACTGCTGCATCCACTCCAGGCCAGTCACTGTTTGCTGTAGAGTCGCAGCACGTACACCAATGTGGCAGCCTCCCTCTGGGGAGTCCCGTGGATGGTCCCCAGGGATGGAGGGTGCAGGGCTGTGCGTGGGCTTACTGTGAACACAAGGGACGGCACAGGAGTCAGGAGCTGCGGATGGATCATGGAGAGGATGGAGGGCAGGTGGCCCTCTCTGGACCCCACGAAGAACAGCCTGTGGACAGAGAGGTGTCGGCGGTCAGTCCCAGGCCCTCGCATCCCCAGCACAAGGACAGGAGATGCTGAGAAGAGGTGGTAGAGTGGGCAGCGCAGGGGGCCTGGGCCCATGGTCGGGGCCTCACTGGCCAGTTGGAGGCTGGGCCACCATGGCCTCCTGGGGCTGCAGGCCTCTCTGCATCCCTGAGCAGCTCGGCTGGCCAGGAGGAGACTTGGCCCAGGCAGCCAAGTCACCTCTGGGCAGTGGCATGGGGAGGGCAAGGGCAAAGTTCCTGTTTCCTTTATTTCTATATTACTTGAACTTTTTCTTTTTCTGACATCTGGCGGGTACGGAAGTCTGAACCCTTAAACTCAGTGTTACCAATGCCACACTCTAACCGAGCTAACCAGCCAGCTGAACTTCTAACGTTTGTGTACCACTCAACACAACAGACAGAAAACTTCTGAAGGACATGTTAAGTGGCATGTGCGGACGCTGGATGATGCCGTGCTGGGGTGAGCTCACCTGGAGGATGTGAACAGGGACCCGTTGACTGATCCGAAGCACGACAAGCCCACGAAGACGGGGATGATCCAAGACATGACCCCCAGATGGTAGTTCCCGAAGTCCTAGGCAGACGCGCCCAGTGAGCCCTCGGCCTCATGGGGCTCTGGCCCTAGGCTGACTGGAGCCTGGCCCCACAGTGGCCCTTTCCCACCCTCGCCACAAGGCTTCCGCATGTGGAGTGATCTCTTGGAGTCAGATTCGGGACTACAGGGGGGACCTCCCAGGATAGGGCTTCTCAACAGCCCCTCCCCAGCCTGCCTCCCAGTCCTGCTTGTGGGGGTCTCTGCTCCCCTGCTTACTCAGCCTGCCTGGCTAAGCTGCACATGCCCACATCTACCAAGAGCAAATGCTAGTCTGGAGACAGGAACAACTGCTCAACAGCCCAGGAGAGTGAGGCTGGGGGACAGGAGGCCTGGCCTGCTCCATGTCACTGGCTTTGTGGCAGCAGGCCAGCCTCAGCCTCTCAGGGACCCTGGGGATGCTGGCAGGTCTCACCACAGCCACGGCCTCCGATGTCAGCATCTGCTCAGTGGACAGAGTGGTGAAGTAGGCCAGGTTGGTCAGCACGTATACCAGGGTGACGATGGGCAGGGAGATGATGATGGCCAGGGGCAGGTTCCTGGAAGGCACGGCAGGGCGCATCACCACAACATAGCCTAGGACTGAGGACCGAGGGCTGAGCACCAGGGGTGGGGCCACTCCCATTTCTGAGCCTCGCTTCTTGGGGAAAAGAGTGAGAACAGGGATTCCTGCTGGACCACGAAGGCTCAGGAGGTGAGACCGCAGAGCCTCCTCTCAGGACCTGACAGCAGTGCTGAGAGCCACAGCTGCCCTCTCCACACCTCCCCACCCACGTGGGGACCTTGGACACCAGCTCACACATGCACAGTCTCCCGGGAGGAAGGGGAGGTCCAGCCTGGGGCTGCCGTGGGCATCAGATGAAGGTGGGAGGGGTCTCAGGGGCACGTGCCACCTGTTCTCATGGTCACACAGCCCCTGTGCCGCCCCCACACCTTGGGCCCAGAAACCAGCTCTGCCTCCCACATCGCCTGACCCCACGGCCCTCGACACCACAGTCCTGAGACTGGGCTGAGCCCACCGAGGGGTTTCAGAGGGAAGAGGCTCCTCCGTCCCTCACATTTAAACGAGAGAGGTCTGCGTTCTGCGCATGCGTACCTGTAGGGGTTGATCATCTCCTCCGTGACGAAGTTCAGGTAGTTCCTAGAGTTAAGAGTTAGAGGACAGAGCTCCACTGTCTGTTCCTCCCATAGGCTTCAGGGAAAATGACGCAGAACTCAACGGGGAGAGCCCTCCTATGAGCTCCGGGTTGGGGACAAAATCCTCTGCACACCCGAGTGCCCCTCATTCTCGGTCTCCTGTGCCTGCCAGGCTGGGCAGCTGGTGCCTGCCCTCCTGACTCTGCTCTGTCCTCTTCAGGGGCAGCCAGGCCCACCCGAGGCAGATGCAGAGCCTGGCCTGAGCAGGACCACACCCTGCAGATCTGCTGGGTGCAGCTCAAGCACTCTGGCACCCCCAGTGAGCAGCGAAGGCAAAGTCTGGGCTCCAGAGCTTCTGGAGTTAGGGGCCCCACAGGGAAAGAGGCTCGGAGGGTGGCCCAAAGGACCTCAGAGCCGGTCTGCTCACCTGCACTGGGCAGCAGACGTGGGGCAGTGACCTGGCCCTCTCCAGGGCATCCCTGCCCCATATGCCCTACCTTCCAGCACTTTCCCCGCCCACTCGCCACGCAGCCTGATGGCAGGGGCCAGGGCTGCGGACCAGAGGAGAGCCGTAGGCAGGACCCGGCTGGGGGAGGCCCAGCTTTTTAAGCCCAACTGCTTCCCGTCAGTCAACTGAGGTTTATCTACTGGCCACCTGCTCAGTGGCTGAGACACGGAGCTGAAATGGGCACCAAGGGCCACTGTGGGCGCCCTAACCTGCTTTTTTGGAATGTGTGTGGCTTGCGGCATCTCTGTGAGATGGTTCCTGGCCCTCCATACCATCCACTCTCTTGAATTGCCCTTGGATGGCCACGAGATTCAGGATTTCTGGTGCGTCCCCAGGCCATGGTGCAGATATTCCAGAACTTACCATCCTCCGTAGGCAAAGAGGCCACTATACAATGCCAACACAATGTTCCCTACGTCCAATTTGTTGCCTTCAAATGAGAACTTGGGATCCAGATTGGACACGTCACCTGGCAAAGGCCAAATAAACAAAAAGGAATGCTGGGTTACAGGTCATGCCACAAGTTCTGGAATGTTCCTGGAGCAAAATACCATAACACACAAAAATGAGAGGGTAAAGGCTTTTCATTTCAACAAACCAAATGCACCTGCTGAACCGCCTGACCCCCCACATGCTGGACTAGTTCTGGGGCGGGGAACAGGTGGGTGGAGGGAGTGCCATCGTTGACTATGACCTGGAGGAACATGTCCCCACCAGAGGCCCTGGGTCCCCAGGAGGGGGGGAAGCAGCTCTGTAGACTGGACCCCTGCTGAAGACAGTCCCTCAGCCAATTTGAGCACCGGCTGCTGTCTATACAGGGGAGAACTGGTGGCTGATGCAAGGCTGTCTGCTTCTGCCTGGGTGCAGGTCAAAAGGGAGGGGCCGGCAGCCTGGTCACCTTCAAGAACATTCCCCACAGACCCTGTGACGCGAGCATCAAGGTGGTCTGAGGTGAGGGACCTAGGTTTGTGTCTTGGCTGCGACACTATGTGCTAAGAACCCTGGCTTCTCACTGTGCAAGGAGGTCGGGACAGATGGCTGGGGAAGGACCCCGGGCCTCCTTGGACCACGGTGACTGTGCTGTCAACTGCAGCCTCATAAGAGAATAGGCTGGCAGAGCCTGGGCACAGGAAGCAAGGCCAGTCAGCCTCTGCTCCATCTCCATACGGCTTCCCCGTGTGGCTCTGCGCAAGCCTCTCTACTTTCCCTTCTAAGGATGTTGTCGTGGACTTAGGGCTCAAACTACTCCAGGATGATCTCATTTCAAGATCCACACCTTTGTCAAAAACTCTTTGCCCCAATAGGGGCACTCACGTTCACAGGCTCTGGTGATGAGTCTTCTAGGGCCACCATTCAACCCAGCAAGTAAACATCACGGGAGGGGTGTCTCAGAAAGGTCACTGGGCTGTGGTGACAGTTTCTGGCCCTTTGGGGGGCTCAGTTATGTCATCTGTGAAATGGCCCCAAGTATGCTCAAGCCCAGTACTGCTTAACAAAGCCAGCCTGACAGTGGATGCTGAGAGGCAAAGGCGGGGGTCAGGCGGCTGGCTTTCTGCTGACTTCAGGTCACCCACCCCAAGAGTTTTCAGTTTCTGGTTCCCAGGGCTCTGGACCACCAGGGCAGCCCAGCACAGACACTTGCCTCACAGATTCCAACATTTCAGGAGAACTTGAAACAAGATGAAAAGTGCCAACAGGAATGAAGGTGCTGGTCACCCCCCACCCACCCCACCTTGCGCACACAGAGCGGAAGGCACGAGCTGAAGTCTCGGTCAGGCTGAGAACTGCTGTTGATTTGGGAACTGTTTCTAAGGGACTGTTTTCAGCTGTGGATGGCGGGGTCTGTGCCCCATCCTACTAAGGAGAATGGTCAGGCTGAGATATGCTACCTCAGTCCAGGTCACCCTGGGAGCCCAACCATGGTGACTGCCTCGGTGGCCCTGGAAACATGGCAGGGTGGAAGCAGTCAGGAGCTTCGGCAAAACCTTCAAAGGCAGTGCAGGCTCTCCTACAGCAAACACCGCAGTGGGGGCCCTCCGAGAAAGTGGACGAGTTCCTGTTCTGGGTCACTTTCTTATGGTGTTCGGGGAGTGAAGCCCCAGAGCCTTTCTGTCCTAGGTGCTCCAGGTGAGCCCAAGCCTTTGACTTTCAGCCTGAGCTGGAGGTGCATGGGGGTTCCGTGATGCCCACCCACCCCCAGATGAGGCCCTGGTCTCCCGACGAGAAGAACGGGCTCCAGGCCTGCTGCCATGTGATCTATCCTGGGTCCTGGTCACACACTGGTTGGCAGGCTGGGCTTGACCCTGCAGGCCTGGGATGGGAGCAGCACAGGACAGAGCCCTCTGGGCTCCTCCCCACCTGCTCTCCTTTGGAGTGTCCTGGAATGTGCAGCGCCTTCACATGTGCAGTGCCTGCCCTGCCCCAGGGCCGTGCCCTCAGACTTCTGCTGGGGAGTATCTGTCCTGTAAGTGGAGAGTATCTGTCCTGTAAGTGGAGAGTATCTGTCCTGTAAGTGGAGAAACAGAGGCACGGGCCATCTGCTGGGGCATGCAGCCCTGCTTTCCTGCCGTGTCATTCATGGTGACCAGGATCCCCACCAGACGTGTTGACCCCCATAACCTGGCCTCTGGCTTTCAGTCTCGTGAGGACAGGGGTGGCACCTGATCACAGCATGGGGGTGGCTAGCTGTTTTTGCTGAGGATAAAATATGGGGCTTGAGACGTAGTGTGAAGTTTTTTAGGCAGGAGCCAGCTGTGGTCAGCCTCGAGGCCTGCTAACTTTATGCTTTCATGGTGGGGGGCATCTGGGCCAGATCCCTCTCAATCAGCCACCTGGCTTCTACTCCCAGGACAGGTGCAGCCAGGGCTTACCCACCTGAACCTCCATAGGTTTAGGTTGTCTGGGGCCTCACTCCCTCTCTGCAAAGTGCTTGGAGCCTCTTGGAGGAAAGTGGACGCCCAGGCACAGGGAAGAACGGCACCCCCAGACCATGCAGCCTTGAGCACAGCTGCACGGAGGGGGAGGGTGGAAGGGCAGGGGCCATTTCTCTCTGTCAAGGATTTGGCTATTTGGGGGCCCCCAACCAACCTACCTCAAAGTCTCTCTGTGCTGCTCCCCATCCCCACCAGAAATGAAGAGGAGGGCATGCAGTGCACAGAAGTGCCTGTGAGCTGCCCTGTAGGGAAGCCGTGGAGCCTGGCCAGCCTCAGGCCACATTGGACACCAACCCAGCATGGGAGGCCTGCAGCTTTGCTGGGCCCCCGACTAAATGTGGCCAGGCAGGCTGTCCCCTTCTCTCTACAGAGTGGGAGCCGGGTCCTCTGGCCCAGTGCAGTGACTTGGCCTGGACTCCCCCCAAGAGCTGTCCCTGTGGCTGGCACAGCCTAATGGGGCCAAGGGCTCTGCCTGCTGCACCGTCCTGCTCTCTAGCAGCTCTGCTCAGGGTGACCTGGAGCTGGGGAGGCTTCTGCCTGCTGGTCTTAGAGCAACAAGACAGAGCAGGGAGGTGGCCACACTTGTCTATTTAAACCAGCACAGAGACAGCTACTCTGTGCCTGGCCCTGAGCTGGCCACTGGGGAGGAGATGGAGGCATACACCTCCTGGGAGAGGATGCTGCCATGTGCCACCCCCACACCACAACCAGGGGACATTTGGCACTGCCTGGAGATATCTGAGGTTGTCATGAATGGGTGGGGACAACGGTGGATTGACATCTAGTGGTCAATATCCTGCAATGCACAGGACACCTGCCCGTCAGCTGTGCCGGGGGAGACCCTCTCGAGAAGAAAGTGACTGGCATCTGGCACGAGCCCACACTCCCTGGGCCCAGCAGGGCCAGCTCCTCTCGGCCCTCTCACCCCCAGACGCTGAACTGAGACTCATCCTCACTTCAGCACAAAGTAACAGGCACAGGACTCAATCTCTGTCTTCAAGGAGCAGATAGTGAGATAGGGAAGACAGGTGGGAAAAGAATCACCACCAACAGAGTAGAAAATTGGCAGGAGTCGGTGGAGACGTGAGCGTCCTGGGACTCAGCGCGAAGCTGATGGTTCCCAGCGCGTTGTGGGTCCCCACATCACCCCGTCCTTCTTGGGGGGCTTTTCTGCACAGCTCAAAAGCCTCTTCCCCCTTCTCTGGCCAAGTCAAGGCAGCAGCCCTATCTCAGGGTGGATCCTGGCCCTCAGCTTGCCCACAGTTGGCATCCTCCTCAATGGGGACATCATGAAAGCTCACATGCACCGGACGCTGATAGTGCCTGCAGATTGCAAACACCCGCGCGGCCCTGGGAACCCAAAGTCAGCTCCCGGCAGCCAGGTGCCCTCGAGAACTGGGTAATTGGGGTGGGAGTGTTCAGAAGGCCTTGGGGACATGATCTCAGGAAAACTGACCCAAATCCTCATGTCATGGAGATATAGCCATGGGAACCATCCACCCAGGGGAGGGGGAACTCCCACCCTCAATGACAGAGGCCCCCATGGCCGAGCACTCATGGGAACAGACCAAGAGCCGAGCTTCTCCCACCGGGTGACATGGCCAGCCCTTTGGCTCCTGACTCAGAGGACCAAGGCTCCCCTTGGCCACTGTGTCCCCTGAGACCTCACCTGGCCCTATGTGCATAGGGAGGGAAAGGCCTGGCCCAGAGCACGCAGGGCCTCTCCTGGGCCCTAGGCATGGGAAAAACCCACAATCTGGAGAAAGTGGACGGCCCTGAGCCAGCCGCTGGGGCTGGGAAGCAGCTAGAGAAAATTCCAGAACCTCAGGGCTAGCCAGGCCTCGCCCAGACCATGGGCATACCTCCAGGGACTGGGACTCAGGACACACTGACCACAAAAGTCCTTCCTCAAATAGGGGCCCATCTGGTGTGCTGGCGCATCTGTCTTCCAACCCACTTCAACCCTCTGGGGTTCAAGGTGGTTATCATGTAAGTCATAGAGGGTGTTGAAGAGTATCCCCCAAAATCCTTGTCCACTCAGAACTGTAGAATGTGTCCTTATTTGGAAATATGGTCTTTGTAATTAGTTAAGGATCTTGAGATGAGAGCATCCTGGATTCAAGTGGGCCCTAAATCCAGTCATGTATGTCCTTATAAGAGGCAGAAAAACACAAGTAGAAAGACGATGGCCATGTGATGACAGAGGCAGAAACTGGAGCCATGTGGCCACCAGCCAAGGAACGCCTGGAGCCACCAGACACTGCAAGAGGCAGGCAACACCTTAGTCTTTGGACTTTTGGCCTGCAGGACTGGGAGAGTATAAATGCCTGGTGTGGCACGGCAGGATCACACGAGCAGACAGGCTGACCTTGCAGCCTCGCTCCACCCAGGCAGCCTGCAGGGTCTCCACTCTGTGCCCCACGCTCACCATCAGGACACACAGCAGCTGGGGCCTCTACCCGCTTCCCAGTCATTGGCCAAGTGAGCAGCCTCAGGCCTCTCATCTGTAAGATGGGTGACACATGGCCAGTGCTGG